GTTACCTAACCTGTGAGCCTTCATTTTCTTATCCAAAAAATGGGTATAATAGGGCTGGCCTGGTGGCGCACTGCTACAGTGCGCCGCTTGAGAGCGCAGCGGCGCTCCTGCCAAGGGTTCGGATCCCACATACAGACTGGTTCCCACTCACTGGCTGAGCAAGGTGCGGACGCAACACCGAGGGTTGCGATTCCGTTGCCAGTCCCGGTCCGGTACGGGCGCGACACTGAGGGTTGCGATCCGTTGCCGGACACGAAAAAAGACAAAAAAAGGAAAAAAAAAAAAGAAAAGAAAACAATGGGAAACTGGAAGCAGATGGAAACCTGGGGGGTGGGGGTAAGGAAGGTATGGTGAGAATTTGCCCTATGGGCAGCTCTCCGTAATTCTGGAGCTGCTTGTCTATTTGATGGATGATTCAGGCCTGCCGCCTTTACAGCTCCTCTTTCTGGCTCCTGCTGCTGCCTCGAAGACACTTCACTAACCCCCTAACCAGAAGTCAGATCCAGAAAGGAGGAAAAACCAGGTCAGATCTTGAGTTATTTGGGTTTTTATCTCTGGTAAAAAGCTAATAGGATGAGTTGGAAGGAGCTAAGAGACATAGTTTGATGTATCACTGGGGGTTTCAGTGTTCTCTAGGTGGGTAGGAATCCTTTCCCAAGAAAGACAAGCTCATTGCTCTTTGTCTTAGGCCCAGTTAGCATCACCTTATGCAGCAGGTAGGAAGAAAGCAGAAGGACTGTCGAGAGGAGCTCAGGACCATTTTTTCTAGAACTATTGCTTTCTCAAAACTTCGGAGAGGAGTGAAATAGATTCCCAACTGAAATAGGGGACAGGAGAACAGATAATTCTGTCTCACAAAAACAAACAAATGAAGACCTCAAATTTAAATCCAAAATCTTCCCCCAGGGGGTACTTGGAATTGAGAAACCATGACCATTCTTGTGAGGATTATACCTCTTGGCTGAAGTCAAAGTGTACTTTTCTAACTTTCTCACTGTTGGTGTTCCTCTGAGATGCTCCTTTGGTTTATCCAGTGGCTGGGCCCTGTCACTGGAACAGGTATCCTATTGGCAGCATCACTCACAAAAGGCTCCATCCTGACCGTAGGTGACATTGCAGTGACCCTGAGACACATGTGAGGGTGTAACAAGGTTCCCTCTACCCAGAGTTAGAGTAATCCACTAATCCCGTGTAGTCTACCAGCACATGGCTGTCCTATTGGCAGCATCACTCACAAAGGCTCCATCCTGACCGTAGGTGACATTGCAGTGACCCTGAGACACATGTGAGGGTGTAACACGGTTCCCTCTACCCAGAGTTAGAGTAATCCACTAATCCCGTGTAGTCTACCAGCACATGGCTCCAATCGAGACACCTCCCTGGGAAGTAAATTTATAAATGATTAAGAGAAAAAGCCTCTAAAGGCTTGAAAAGAAACCAGGGATTAGATGACCCCTTCATCTGTGGCAGTCAAAAAAATCTGCAAATTGTTTTACTTCAATTTGGATCAAAATTTTAAACTCTGTAAAACTCATTTGTTTTACAGACGTCCCTCTGTTCTTCCCTTAATGTCTAAGACAAAATTATTTTTTAGGTAATGCTCTCAGTGGCTTGCCTGAAATGAGTCGAAAGAGATTTTTTTCAGACCTCAGTGAGTTTCATGGACAGGAGAAGCAAGGCAGTAGACCTTCCAGCCAGTGCCCCGAATAGTCCAGTTTCAGGGGAAAGGTGTGGGTGAGGACAGTGTATGGAAATCAAAAAGCCACAAGCTAGAGCTGGGTGCAAATGTCAAAACCTTTCCCTAAATGTTCTGCTCAGCCCCCAAATCCATGTTCTCCCGCAGCCTCATCACATCCAGCATGTCCACCATAGACACTGGGAGCCCTCACGTCCATTCTTCTGGCCCCCTGGATGAAGCATGAAGGGTAATGCCTGGTGGGTCATCGCAGGTGACCCCAGCCGGGTTTCGTGTTAGTGAGTTTGCTCAACCACATCAGCTGTCATTCTGGGGATGATACTACTAGGTACCCCCAGGACCAGAGATTAAATATAGGATTAACATCCTCAGTCTTAGCCCCTCAGGCTAGAAATTGAGGAAGATTTTTCTCTACAATTTATGTGTCTTGGATCTCTCAATCAACAACACAACAAGCAGTTCTACAAATTTTGTATTATTCAATCGGCGCAAAACATCCATCCTTGTGATTGGCTTCGATTATTCATGTATTCTGTTTCTCTTTTCCTTATCCTGTCTCCCTTCAGCCCTCATTATTCTAAAGTGTCTTGCACATACCTGTTTTTATTTATTTATTTATTTTTGTGAGCCCCATGGCAGGGTGTATTTGTAGGGAGTCTTTTCTCTGATTTTATTTATGTGTCTTTCTAATGAATTAATTATTAAAAATAAAAGCTTAGGAGTCCTGTAGGAACTGGCTTTCTCAACAGAGTGAGAATAATGGAGAGGCTGTGTTTGAATTTGCCCTCCTAATGGTGGTTGTATGCATTCCTTGGCTGAGGAGTTGCAGATTTGGGGAGATTAAAACACATTCCAACCCTCTTCCTGGTATTATAAACAATGAGAACATGCCTTTTCTTGCCACAAGAATCTAGAGAAGCAGAAGATGGCAGGTCTGGAGACACAGAAGAGGCCGCTGATGTTGGCAGCGTTGAATGGGCTCTCGGTGGCACGGGTCTCGGGGCGGGAAGAGAGTCGAGTTGATGCCACCCGGATTCCCATGGACGAGAGGGTAAGTGCCGGGCTTGTCAAACATGTGATTCCTTCCCTGTGGTCGGTCTTAGGATCCCAAAGCTCCCTCATTGCCCAAACTTGCTAGCACTAAGATTTGTTTGATGAATTAATCCTTCAATTTGAGATTAGGAAGATCTGCTCTAACTGTGTTGTATTAAATCAATCCTTCCCAACATCTAATGTTTCTTTGTTTCGGTCTTCCTGCTTTGTCAAGTTGGTATATCGGTACTTGCCTAAAAAGAGAGCCCCTAACAAGCCATAAGGTTTTGGTCAGGTCACTCAATTTCTTTGGGCCTCTTTCCTTTTTTGTAAAATGAGGGAGTTAAGCAATTGCTATAGCTCTCAATTCTTATGATTTTTGTCACCAGTTACCATTTCTAAGGAAGTGATTTCTTTTATCCAAGCATTCATAGAGTACTTTTAAGATCTATCCCCTTATGTGGATATAAAATGTATCTGATTTATCGATGTTGGGATAACATATTGTAAGAACTTTGGTTTTGAAAAGCAGAAAGTTGCACAATAGTGTTTAGTTTTAGTTCCTGAAATTGCTGTCAGAAGGTTAAGAAACAGGTTGCATAAATTTAATAGAGTGCTGATAACATTAGGATGTCAGATTTCTGCCAGTTATGTATCCAGTATTAGAATGTTTTTATAGCCAGAAGGGACTTTAGAGGGATCATTTAATCCAATTAATATTTTGTAATTGTAATTAGTAGTGAGGTTAGGGAAGAAAAAAGAAAGAGGGGGATTTAAGAGCTATACAACTGTGGACAAGTGTCATCTTAAAATTTAGCTCAGTAAAAGCAGCTATTTAAGTGGAGAAAAGGATATTTGCATAGTTAAGATTAATAATATCTCCTTATCATTAGGACTTTAAACAGTGATGTTAATAGCAAAAATATTGATTTTTGAATTTAAGCTTTTGCTAGTTCTTACAGATTTATTCTGTTTACAGTAGGAGTGAGGAGGAAAATGGTTATCAGACAAGAGAAATTAGCAACATGGTTAATAATGAGACCAAATAATCAAGTATTGTACATTTTGAAATCCCTTATTAACACTATCACTGTAAAGACCTTAAGAAATTTGGTTATTTTTTTGGTGTTTTTGGATAAGATAATTCAGAGAGCTGAAGATTAATTTCTGTTGCAGTTCAGAGCCTTGAAGAAGAAGCTAGAAGAGGGTATGGTGTTCACAGAATATGAGCAAATTCCAAAGAAAAAGGCAAACGGCATTTTCAGCACAGCGGCTCTTCCAGAAAATGCTGAGCGCAGCCGAATCCGCGAGGTGGTCCCCTATGAGGAGAATCGAGTGGAGCTGATACCAACCAAAGAAAACAATACAGGATACATTAATGCCTCCCACATCAAGGTAAAAACGAAGTATGTTGGAAGGTTTGTTATAGGTTGCAGGTTAAAGGTAAAAATGCAGGGAGAAAAAAGTGTATGTTTTGCAACTGTACCTGTTGGCTTGTGCCTCTTGGCTTGTGCCCAGACCCTTAGGAAGTGTTCTTGAACTCTTGAGGAAGTATGTTGGAAGGTTTGTTATAGGTTGCAGGTTAAAGGTAAAAATGCAGGGAGAAAAAAGTGTATGTTTTGCAACTGCACCTGTTGGCTTGTGCCTCTTGGCTTGTGCCCAGACCCTTAGGAAGTGTTCTTGAACTCTTGTGCTTTCCTTAGTCAATTGGAAGGGCATGTCTGTCACTGTAGAACAAGGGAAGTCTGGCAGCCTCGGGGAAAACCTCAGGTCAGCTCTTTCTGAAACTGGCTCATTACAGAGGATTTAACTTTTTCTTCTCTCTGTGGGCTATAATTCTTTCTAAACTCACAGGAAAAACTGAGGATTGTCCTTTTCAGTTTGTAATTAGCAGGTGACGAAGACTTAGGAAGTCACAAGTATTGTATTACTGTCATTGAAGTTTTTGTCATGTTCCATAGCATCAGAAACTATCATTTCTCCCTTGTTACTCTACAAGTTATGCATTTTACAGCTGAAGTCTGAATTTTGCATGATATTTAGAAGAGTGGACTAACTTCCACATAAACCATGAAAGTATGATTGGTTCCAAATCTTGCAAGATTTGCCTCATTAGTCAATGAATGTCTTTAAATTTTTGTTACTTTTTCATATATTCCAAACCTTCATACTTCTGTATTTCATAGCTTAGCTCAACTCCAGTTAGAACTTAAGAGTTATGGATATAAGTGCACATGCTAAATGTTAAATGTTTCCTAAATAGCTTACCTCCCTCATTGTCCCTAATAATAGCCTTAGAAACCTGTTTCCAGCCACTTTAAAAATTATTTCCTCCCCTCATTGGACTTTTAAGCTGTAGCAGAATGAATAGTAGGTTCCTTTGAGCCTCTAAAGTATAGTTAGGTATCTGGTTTGTGTTTCGGTTACAGCCAGTTTTGACACAGAATATGAAAAGTGTACTGTGGGTGGGTGCACTGTTGCTGTACACAGAGCTAGATAACCATATGTATTTTTTTAAGTATCAGAAAGTCCTGTCAAAAGAAATATGAAAGAGCAACTATTATAGATCATATTGTGCATTTTTACTCTTATTTTTGAGATTGAGAACTAAAAAAATGAACCCCAGGAAACTATTAAGTTAACAGGCAATGGTGAGTTTCAAGGGCTTAGTTTAGATTATGCAATAATGACCAAAATAATGTACTCAAAGATGCAGATCACACAGCTGCTTCTTGATAGAGTGTCTATGAAAATCTTACATAGCAATATTATTCTCTCTTCTTCTTGTGGCCAAATCTCTTCCACCATTTTCCATCTGCTCTCTGGAAAAAGCTGTCACTCTACATAAACTGTGCCCATTGAGTGTCGTTAACTGAGACGTGCTCCCTTCCTCAGCATTCTCTGAGGCCCACATTTCATCTTGTGGATCCGTGTTAGACATGGGTGCATTTAATAGACCCATAGAGCTTGCAAGAACTTGTCCTTGTGTTTTTGTAATAGAGTTGTATATTTCACCAGTGATTTTCCCCCTGGGTTCCAAGCAGCCATTAACACAGAACAGAGATTTATTTGCTCCAGAGGTGGAATCACATCTGTGAAATCTACCTCAGTAGCACTGGTTGTTGTGTTTTTAATGCAGTTTTTAATACCCTCCTGTCAATACTTGGAATATGCTGAAAGGCCCCAGGCAGCGGCATTCTCTGAAAGTATTTATGGTTCCTATATGTTTGGTGCCAGAGAAGCTAGTGTTTAAAATCAAAATTCCACAGATAAACCAAACTCCTAGCTGGCAAATATGATTGTTATCCCCCACCAGTACTTGGAAAATGGATTTTTCTTGCCAGCTTTGACCTAAACATGTCTTGTGTAATGAGATGATAACTGACATTGTTTTTGCTTGAATCAAGTTAGTATATAGCTACATAAAATAAATGAGGGAAAAAAAGTTTCAATGATCACTCCATTGCTCCTAGAACTTTCTAGAGATCTGCATTGCTTGGATGTGTAAGGGGGCCTAACTTTGCCAAATCAAGGTACAGAAGTGGCAGGGCAAACAGAATTCCTCCAAAGGCCACCATTTCACCTTGATAGCATGACCTTCAGTACATTGGGTGCAACTTCTTAGCTATGATTCTCTGCAGCTGGTGTTTACAGCTGCAGAATTATCCTCCCACAGTCACCCTGAGCTGCATGGGGTAATAATTTCATTATCCAAAATTATCTCATAATTCCATAGTTCAGCTGGGCACTGTGGTACTGCACAGGGTGAAGTTATTGATACAGTGTTATATACTATCGACAGATGCATTCATAACATCTCTGCCATACGTAGCAGTACAGGTCAGCAGTGACAGCAGAAACTTAGGACACACTTCATATCAGATCAGCAGGGTAAAGATATTGCTCCAAAATGGACGTTATTCCGTGGTAGACTTTTTTTATTATTTAAGAGAATGCCATGGAGCACTGTTTTTCAGACTATGGATCACAACACAGTGGTGGGGTGTGAAATTAATTTAGTGGTCTTGGCCAGTTTGTGTGTGTGTGTGTGTGTGTTTGTGTTTTACTGAAATAGACTAGAACAGAGAAGAGAAAAGAATGGAATATATCAGGGTGCATTGGACATCGTAAGCGTAACTGTTGTTTCTGTAAAAAAATAGATTCTCTTGTTATACACATACATATTCATATATTATTGTGTGTGTGTACGTATATATACATATATACATACATGTTTTTAATGTGCGCTGGTTTCCTCATACTGTGAGTTGCAGACAAGAAAAGATCAGGTAAAGATTTTGATAGCCTTGAGTGGCAAAAAGTATATTAATGTGAGAATGTGTCACTAACTATCTGTGGTCTCAGGGTTTTTGATAATTACAGTGACCCGTTTGGCCCGCAAAATACTATCCAGGGTTTTAAGGTGCAGACACATGGGCATGTGGCCAGCAGCTGGTTCTGTCCTGAACGTGGGGTTTGTGCAGTGATGCTTTCCTTGGTTTCCAGGTGGTGGTTGGTGGGGCAGAATGGCACTACATAGCCACTCAGGGGCCCCTGCCACACACGTGCCACGACTTCTGGCAGATGGTGTGGGAGCAGGGCGTGAACGTGATTGCCATGGTCACTGCAGAAGAGGTAAGGGGCTGGCCCGCTCAGCGTCCTTTTCCCGGGGGAATGGGTGGCCAGAGATGGGCTTTGTAGCAGCGACTGCTGCTCTGTCCTCCTTCCTGCAGGCTGTTTCTCTGCAAATCCTTTTCTGTTTGGTATATGTCTGTTCTCCTTACTTCCACATACATTTGCTTTTCCCCAGAGATAATTTATTATTGTGGCTTTTTCT